AAAACAGGACATTTGGACACACAGACAGACATTTTAAAATTGATTTTTGCCTCATTTTGAGGACATCCGGACACACAGACAGACAGGAAAAACTCACTTAACAGCGAATTTCTTCAATACTTTTGAGGATTTTCCATCGATAATCAATGTGACAAACGTTCGAATCGAGCAGAGCGTTCGAAGAATTCCCATTCCGAATCGTTTGCCGATGACTGCGTCTTTGTAGAGTTTGGAGAGTTCTTCTTGTCGGTTGGCTGGAAGAAATTGGGGCTTTTTGGGCATTTTTTATCCTCGAAATGCCCAAGATGGGCTGAAAAATTCGAATTTCAGTTTGAAAATCCCCGAAAATCTGGATTTTACGGTCATTTTGGGATTTTTTAAGGGATTTTCGTGATTTTTTAAACTAAAAATTGCATTTTTTGGCCATTTTTGGGTTTTTTAAAAGGAAACACTAGGATTTTTGAGCTTTTTAAACGGGACAATTTCACTCTAGGCATTTCTGTTCCGTCCAATTTATAGTTCCGGACAGTTCTGATTTTGCACAGTTTGCAATTTGGAACCATTTTGATTTAGGAAATGTCCATTTTTCTACAGTTTCATTTTAGAAAATCTCCAACCCGTCGAACCACCTATTTTCCAGGACTGGCACAAAGGCGATCGCCACCTAGACGACATCCAATTGCAAATCGATAAAGTGATCGATTCGAATTTCATCAACCATCTCGGCGCTGATCGAGCGGGCAGTCCGAAATGGATCAAGTTGAGCCGGAATTTGTATGTGCTCATTTTTTGATTTTTTCAAAAATTTCAAAAATTTCAGAACAGGCAAAAAGCAGACGCTGTACATCGATCGAGAGCGTCTGGCGACTCGTCATTTGTCGATTCGAGTCAAGGATAGTCATAAATAATACTCTTCTTGATCTATTGTTGAATTTGTGTTGTTGATTTTTTTCAATTGTAATATGTTTGGTTTTTTTTAATTCGAATGAATTCTAAGTCGAAATTTTGCAGATAACACCCATTGTTTGCCAAAAATTTGAATTTGGCTCGCTGTGAGCTTCAAAATGAGCCGAAACACGCCTATTGTCGGTCAAATTTGAAAATTTGACCTCCAACCGCTACGCAGCCGCGTCGCAGAGCCTAACTGACCCAAAAACAGTCGTTTTTAGGCTCATTTTGAAGCCTCTGGAGAAAGACGCATTGCTGTTTCTGTTCCAAATTCCAGAAAACCCTTTTCAGTCATCTCATAAATCGGATCCGGAACTATCTGAAAATCAATCTTATATGAAAAACACTGTTTCTAATTGTTGTGGTTACAGTGTTAAGCCCTTTGTTGATATTGAACTCTTCAAGTACTAAATTAAATGTTTCCATGTTAATTGAGTAGTAGACATGCTCTCTCTTCCATTTCACTTGATATTTTCGGAGCAAACCGTTGAAATCTTCAATTCGAGAGTTAGTGAGAAACATCGAGAAACATCAAGCCAATTCGATGAGTTACGTATCGATTTTACTAAAAAAAGACGCAAACTATTGTTGCCGAAAATTGCCGAAATTTGCCGAATTTGCCGAAATTTTTTTTCGGCAACTGCCGAGTTGCCGAATTGCCGAAAAATTTTTGTTGCCGCACAGGCCTGATCTCGACGATAGCACATTTGAATTCATCGAATTGGCTTGATGTTTCTCGATGTTTCTCACTAACTCTCGAATTGAAGATTTCAACGGTTTGCTCCGAAAATATCAAGTGAAATGGAAGAGAGAGCATGTCTACTACTCAATTAACATGGAAACATTTAATTTAGTACTTGAAGAGTTCAATATCAACAAAGGGCTTAACACTGTAACCACAACAATTAGAAACAGTGTTTTTCATATAAGATTGATTTTCAGATAGTTCCAGATCCGATTTATGAGATGACTGAAAAGGGTTTGCTGGAATTTGGAACAGAAACAGCAATGCGTCTTTCTCCAGAGGCTTCAAAATGAGCCTAAAAACGACTGTTTTTGGGTCAGTTAGGCTCTGCGACGCGGCTGCGTAGCGGTTGGAGGTCAAATTTTCAAATTTGACCGAAAATAGGCGTGTTTCGGCTCATTTTGAAGCTCTCAACAAGCTAAATTGAAAAATACTAATGAAATCAAGTTAGCAATAAAATTAGGAAAGTTCCGGTAGTATTAGAAAATTTTCGAGAAATTTTCAAATAACCATAACTTTCACAGTTATGTTTGAAATATCAAATTATTGATATTTTTGCATTTCCCGCGCTAAGAGCTTCAAAATGAGCCTAAGCACAACTAGTTAGGCTCCGCGCCGCGGTCGCGTAGCGGTCGGTGCCTATCGCGTAGCGGTCGGTGGCTCTAAAAAGTCGCGTAGCGGTCGGTGGCTCTAAAAAGTACCGTACCATAAATCCATTCGCAAATTCCGTCTTTTTCCTGTTCATTTCCGAGGGATCCTCCTGGCGGAGTAGTTGTTGAAGTGCTATGCACGCCTTGTCGTTGGATAGACCTCTGGAGGAAAAACAGGACATTTGGACACACAGACAGACATTTTAAAATTGATTTTTGGGTCATTTTGAGGACATCGGGAAAAACTCACTTAACAGCGAATTTCTTCAATACTTTTGGGGATTTTCCATCGATAATCAATGTGACAAACGTTCGAATCGAGCAGAGCGTTCGAAGAATTCCCATTCCGAATCGTTTGCCGATGACTGCGTCTTTGTAGAGTTTGGAGAGTTCTTCTTGTCGGTTGGCTGGAAGAAATTGGGGCTTTTTGAGGATTTTTCTGATAAGTTAGTTATCAACCCCATCACTCATAAATTATCGATTGATTTTGCAGACTGATCACAATGTCGAATCGATCGGAAATTCGTGTATCAACAATACGAAGCGAATTTCCAGAATTACACTCAATTAGTGGATTTGAATATTCAGAAAATGAAGGAAACAAGAGATTGTAGTCTCTATTCTCCACTTTCAAAACCACCTGCATTTTCTGATCGATTTATGAACGAACACTGGTTGGAATGTGATAAAGAAAAGATGAAGGAATTGGAAGATATCATTGATTTCCGAGTGTCTCATTTGTTTCTTCGAAATGAAATTCGATGAGAAGACGTTGAAATGTGATCATTGTAAGAAGATTACACATCAAAAAGTTGGTTTTAAAATATATATTTTAAAAGGAAACTATTGATTTTTAGGCCTAGAAAATCCAACTTGCAAAAGTTAGGCCAACGTGTCAAAATGACCTAGAAATTACACCAGAGTTATGCTAAGCCATTTTTGGGCCAAAAATAGGTGGTGACCTAGAAGACCCGAAGTTCAAAAGCTAGGCCACCACTTCAAAATGTATTCGTTTCGAAAAATTTTCTCGAAATTTCTCGAAGCCGTGTCGAAAGGATTATTGATTGTTTTCATTGTGCTTCTAAATGGCTCCAAATCCATCGATCGTGTCCAAATTGTCGCAGAGAACAGTTGGATACTGACGAGTTCCCGGCACTCAGATAACTCATTTTTCTTGCTATCTTTTCGAATTTCTCGTTGTTTTTTGTGTTCAATTTGTTAATTTTTAAAATTTTAAAAATCTTTAAAATCGTTTTCGAAATCTCTGAAAAAGGAGAATTTTCAATCAAAATCAAACCAAAGACAAAAATTCATTCATAAGACAGACTGACATAAAATATTGCTTTCTCCAAAACAAATTTAATTAAAATCCTTCTAGAAAGCGGTGCCCATAAAACGAGGCAAATTGGTTTTTGGGTGGGGAAATTGGATTTTTTTGGGGATTCAAAAAATGTTTTGCTTCATAAATAGAGCTACAGTAATCCTTGATAATATCTGCCCTTATTTTCATCCATCATCTCTTTTGTGGGAAGATTGATTTTCGATAATTTCTTCGACAACTTTTCTTTTTCCTTCCTCTCCTCCGCTTTTCTTTGTTTCTTCGATTTCACATCGGCCTCTTCTTTTTCTTCGATTTCTCTCTCGTATTGCTCTAATTTTTCATAGTAGAGACATTCCGATTTTGCACAGGAATGCATTCCACAGGTTACTGTAAATTTCAGCTTTAAAATGAGCCAAAAATCAACAAAAACGGACCATTTCGACGCGAGTTATGAGCGATTGAATATTGCAAGGCAAGAAAGTGCAGGAAAAGAGGAGGGTGCAGACACTCTAGCTTCTCTGGCGCCCTCTTCTCTTCACACGCTGTCTCTCTTCGCCAACTTCAAATGCTCATAAATCGCTTCGAAATCGAGCTAGAAAGTTGATTTTTTGACTGTTTTGGGTAAAATTTTTTGCTGCATCAGATCACAATAAATTTGAAAATTCGAATGATCTAAACAACTTTTTTATCTAGCTTCACAATATTTTTCTAGTCGCATTGTTTCTGAATTACTGTAGTTTCCACGTTTCAAATGAGCTAAAAATCCAATCATACGAACCATTTTGAGTCGAGTCAAATAAGATCATTCGAATTTTTTGCACGGCGAGAGACTGTACGAAACGAAGAGAATGCAGACAGTCTAGCTTCTCTGGCGCCCTCTCTCCTTGCCGTGCTGTTTCGCGGCCTCTTCTTCAAAGAGTCATATCTCCGCGGGGAATATAGCTATCAAAAAGTTCTCAACTACAAAAATGTGTAAAATTCATTTTCACACATTTTTGTAGTTGATACCTTTTTGATAACTCTCTTTCTTACTGAGTTATAGACTTTTGAAGCTAGCCCTCTGCACTCTCTCGCTTTGCGAACTTCAAACGCTCATAACTCGCTTCAAAATCAAGCTAGAAAGTTGAATTTTTAAATGTAATTTGTGACAATTAACGCTCAAAAAACTCACTAAAAAGCTCATGCCAATAGAGCATTTGATCCCAAACATTTTCCGATTTCTTCTCATTGGAGTCAGTCAAAGAGTAGAGGCAAGAAGTGACAAGAGTAACGTAGACAAAGCCAATGAAGTACTGAATTTTTTTCGATTTTAAATAGTACAGATTACTGTAGTTTCCAGCTTTTAAATGAGCTAAAAATCAACTCAAACAAACCATTTTGAGTCGAGTTACAGCCGTTTAAAATTTGCACAGCGAGAGAGAGAGTAGGAAAAGAGGAGGGTGCAGACACTCTAGCTTCTCTGGCGCCCTCTTGTCCTAACACACTGTCTCGCTTTGAAAACTTCAAATGCTCATAACTCGCTTCAAAATAAAGCTACAAAGTTGATTTTTTGACTCTTATGTGTAAATTTTTCACTTTTACCTACCGTCAAATTTTGTACAATCTCCCAACTCCGGCTTTTCTCATCCAGAGCTAGGAAAAAAGAAATTGCACTTGGAATTAAAATGCAAGAAATTGAGATATAGGTTGGAATGGGTTGTTTATGGTTGAGGTAATCTGGACATATGAGGTACCGTATTCCATTGATGATTTGTAAAATTTGGAATAAAGTACGGTACCGTAATCCAAAAAGTGTTGGAGGGTCCGGAAGAAGATTCATTTTGAATTTCGAATTCATAGAAATGAGATTAAAGGCGCAGAAGACGAAGGGGAAGAAAGGGGGAAAGAGAAAAGAGAATTAGACAGTGCTCGACGTCTTCTGATTATTTTTCGGGGCGAGTAAATGGGGAAAAAACGGAAGAAGAAAAGAGGTATCAGGATGGGGTCGGGTTGCTAAGGGTAACCTAGAAGTCTTATTTTTCCTTCTGACGTCTTCTAATAAAATGTAGTCGTTGGTTTTGAATCATAAGATTCATTTGGCAAATTAAGAAGAAGAAAATTTGTATTTGGTTTTGTGAAGTGGAAAATTTCGATTTTTGACTTTGAGAACAACAAATGAACCTCATAATGAAGCTCAGATTTCGTCTATCAGGGAAGCTAGAAAAAAGGAAAAAAAATGTGAGAATGAGAAAAAAGTAAGAGCCTGACTTTGTTATTCCCACCTGCTCTGACTCCGCCCCTTAAAAACTAGGTAAAAACAAAAAATTTTGCAGCTTTTTTCAGACTTTTTGAACAAAATCTGAACTTCAAAATTTTTTTTAAATTTCATTTAAAGGTGGGGGGACTGGAGATTTTTCGTAGTTTTTTTGTAGCTAGAGTATGCATTCTACCGTCACGGTGTACAACACTTAATGTCACTCTGCGTACATCTGTCGTCCTCGCCTTTATGTATGCAATCGGGCGGCGCTTTCTCTTTGCCCGCGTGGCTCAGTCGGTAGCGGCGCCGCACCCTCAATCATCGTCCTCACAAGTTCAACTCCTCGAGAGGCATCTTCGAACGGAATTTCGAGAAAATTATTTTTTTCATGTCCCCCCACCTTTATTATAGCAAAACATTTTACACACAATGGTCTAAAAATCAACTCTAGCTAGATTTTGAAGCGAGTTATGAGCATTTGAAGTTTTCAAAGCGAGACAATGTGTTAGGAGAAGAGGGCGCCAGAGAAGCTAGAGTGTCTGCGCTCTCCCCTTTTCCTACTCTCTCTCGCTGCGCAAATTTTAAACGGCTGTAACTCGACTCAAAATGGTTTGTTTGAGTTGATTTTTAGCTCATTTAAAAGCTGGAAACTACAGTAATATGTGGTCAAAAACAACTTTATTCCAGAAAAAGTTAAACATCTAGTTCTCTGTTGGCTCCGCAGCTGTCGCCTCTGCCGTGGGTTTTCGTTCTTGAACTTTCATATCCTCAGGTACTAAAACTTCAAAAGAGACCTCCAGGCCAGCGGAAACTTTACAAACGGCTGCCGAATTTGTGAATGTTCCACTGTAATGAGGAGCAGAGAATACGGTCTGTAAAAATAGGACATCTGGACATCTGAACAGACAGAAAGTCACTTACCACAAGTTTTTTATTCGCAAAAAACTCATAACCATCTTGTACAACCTGGTGTCCTCGAACAATCAAATCAATGTCTAGCATCTTACAGTACTCATGGACCACGTCTTCTCCAAATGTGAAACTGGCGCCACGTGTATTCGGCTCCCAACCTTTTACACTTCCTGGATCAGACCACATTAGGTCATTTTCGAGACACTCTTCTTCCAGATTGAATGGGCTGAAAAAAAAAATAATTCTGAGAAGGCTGAAAATTCTATATTGATGAAGTTTATATAACCTTGTAGACCTTCTTAAAATCTAAATTTTCCGTTTTGATTTTTTCAAAAATACAGAGTTTGAAAGAAGTTACAGTACTCCGAAAAAATATGTCTCTTTTCTTCTACTTTTCTTCTAAAATAGCCCAATTTCAAGTTCCTACAAAAATAATTCAGAGGTTTTCAATCTTTCTGAAATTTTCAGAGTATATTAAACAAAAATAAAGCTTCATTTTCGTAATTGACAACTTTTTTGTGGCTACTGTAGTTTTTGAGATAAGTGTCTCTAAAGACAGGATGCTTGATCAGCGAGAGAGGCGGGACGCAGGCATTCTGTCTTTAAAGGCGCATAAGTCAAAAACTACATTAGCCACAAAAAGTTGTCAATTATAAATAGATAAAACAAAGATAGAACTTTGATTTTGTAGTGGACAACTTTTTTGTGGTTACCGTAGTTTTCGAGATATGCGTCTCTAAATGAGGGACGCCTGCGTATCTCCCGGAGATCAGGCAGCGCAGACACTAAGTCTTTAAAGGCGCATAAGCTCAAAAGCTACAGTAGCCACAAAAAAGTTGGAAAACTACAAAAATGAAGCTCTATTTTTGTTTAGTATCCTCTGAAAATTTCAGACAAATCGAACGATTCTGGAATACTTTTGTAGAGCTTGTTAAGACTGGAAATGACAAAGTAAGCTATATTTTTGTTTGGGGATACTGAAACTTCCTTCTAACTTTATGTTTTTTTAAATTCAAAATGGAAAATGAAGAATTTGAAAAGCTCTACAAGACTATAAAACATTTTTAAGATTAAAATAACAGGGCTTTAAGTAGGTCGTCCTAGGCACGAAGCGTTTGCCGAGGGCCCCTCCAGTTCAGTTACACCTACTGTAGCGATCAAATATCAGAATTTATTACATTTTATATCATTTTGACAAGCTTTTCAAGGGCTAAATTTTACTTTTTAAATTCTCAGAAAATGTTAAGTTTAAAGGGAGTTATGACGATTTCAAGCAGCTATAGTCGAAAAAAAAATCAATACCATTTGAGATTCCGAAGATCTTCTAGCGATTTTAAATGTTTTGAAAGGCCACCATGCATACAAAGAATCCGTCCTCCAATCAATCCAACAATCGGCATCACATCCATCATTTTCTGGAAAATTCCCAAAAAATTCAACAAATCTCTACTTCCAAAACTACAGTAATCTCCGCATAAATGACCGGCGCAAACTCTCCCTTCCTTGTAAAAATCTCCTCTTTGAACCCAAATTGACTGTTGATATGAGCTTGTTCATGATTGCCACGTAGCATGATAAAATTGTTTGGATACCTTGCCTTATAGGACAAACAGAGCAATAGGACTTCCAAATTATAGGCACCACGATCCACGTAATCTCCAAGGAACAAATAATTCGAATCTGGCGGGAAGCCACCCTGCAAATGTGCTCTATTGATAGAGTTATCCATGGGGCGCACTTTCGCACTTACCTGGGCAAATAGTCGAATCAAGTCTGGAAATTGAGCGTGTAGATCCCCACAAATGCGCACAGGACCATCGATTTCAATGAGACGAGCTTGCGATTCGAATATTCTTTTGCAAGTGTCTAAATTTTCAAAAATTTTGCAATTGCGCTCTACTGAACAGTGTTCAGTGAAGACCCACGAGCCAATCTCAAAATATCCATTGTTTTGACATTTTTCGAAACTCCTCTACAGCTGAGCAACACCCTTATAAATTCTTCTACGAATTTCTCTGCAAAAAAAAGAAAATGGTGGCCTAGAAACCTCTAAAGTAAGGCCATACTATTCGACTCATCCGTTTTCCCATCGAACATCTCCTTTCTCTTACTTTCATCTAACAAAACGTCATTGTCAGACACCGCGGAGCTAGGCTGAAATTCGAAATTCGAATTGCCGCCTGCGGTGGAGCGCGCTTACCTCCGCAAGTTGCGCTGATGGTTCCTTCGACATTTTTTAATCGCTGTATTCGAGTATTCAAGTGTATTTTTTGTTGTAGTTAAAAGAAATATTCAATTGTTTTGTTTTTAGGCTGGAAAGGTTTTTTTGCTGTAAAAGATAGGTATGAAAAAAAGCTAAAAATTTGACACATATTGGTCCAAAAATCAACTTTCTAGCTCAATTTTTAAGCGAGTTATCAGCGTTTGAAGTTTTTTCAACCGAGACATTGTGAGAGGAGAAGAGGGCGCCAGAGAAGCTAGACTGTCTGCACCCTCTCCTTTTCCTACACACTCTATCTTTGTAAACTTTAAACGGTCGTAACTCGACTCAAAATGGTCCGTTTGAATTGATTTTTAGGTCATTTTAAAGCTGAAAACTACAGTAATCTATGAAACAGATTTATTCAAAAAAAAAAGTCGGAAATTTAGTTCTCTGTTGGCTCAGCAGCTGTTGCCTCGGCCGCCGGTTTTCGTTCTTGAATTTTGATATCCTCCGGTATCAAAACTTCAAAAGAAATCTCCAATCCAGCGGACACTTTACACATGGCTGCCGAATTTGTGAATGTTCCCATATAGTGTGGAGCAGAGAATACTGTCTGAAAAAACCTGGACATCTGGACATCTGGACAGACAAATTTTACCACAAGTTTCTTGTTGCCAAACAGCTCAAAACCGTCTTGTACCACCTGGTGTCCTCTAACAATCAAATCAATGTCTAGCATCTTACAGTACTCATGGACCACGTCTTCTCCAAACATTACACTGGCACCACGTGCATTCGGCTCCCAACCTTTAACGTTTCCAGGATCAGACCACATTAGGTCGTTTTCCAGGCACTCTTCTTCCAGATTGAATGAGCTGCAAAAAAATTGTTGTAGACAATCTTGTAGAGCTGTTCGAGCTCTATATTTTCCAAGTAGAATTTTTTGCAAATATGAAGCTTGAAAGAAGTTACAGTACCCCGAACAAAACTACATCATTTTTTGACTTTTTGCATTTTGAAGCCCTACAAAAGTAATTCAGAATTTTTCAACTTGTCTGAAAACTTCAGAGAATACTAAATGAAAATAGAGCTTCAATTTTGTAATTAAAAACTTTTTTTAAGGCTTCCGTATTTTATGAGATGTGCGTCTTAAAAAACAGGATACATGCGTCTCGCGCTTCCAGTAGGATAATAGTTGTCAAATATATTATAACTCCTTTCAAACTCAACATATTTTCCCGATTCAAAAAGTAAAATGTAGCCCTTGAGAAGCTTAACAAAATGATATAAAAATCTGATCATTTCGGCCTTTTCAGTCTACTGATAAATCTGCTCAAAACACCGATAAAGCTACCATCTCAAATTCCGAAGATCGTCAAGCGTCTTGAATCCTTTTGAGAGACCACCATGCATACAAAGGATACGTCCTCCGATCAGCCCAACGATAGGCATCACATCCATCATTTTCTGGAAATTCCCAAAAAATTCAACAAATCCCTACTTTCAAATTACGGTAATCTCTGCATAAATGGTCAGTGCAAATTCGCCCTTCCGCGTACAAAGCTCTTCTCGAAACCCATATTTTTCATTGGTATGTGCCAATTCATGATTGCCACGTAGCATTATAAAATTGTTGGGATATCTAGCCTTATAGCATAAACAGAGCAATAGGACTTCCAAATTAAAGGCTCCACGATATACATAATCTCCGAGGAACATGTAATTGGATGCTGGCGGAAAGCCACCCTGCAAAATGTGCTCTATTGAACAGGAATTATCAATAGAGCGTACTTGGGCAAATAGTCGAATCAAGTCTGGAAATTGGCCGTGTAGATCCCCACAAATGCGCACAGGACCATCGATTTCAATGAGACGACCTTGAGACTCGAAGATCTTTTTACAAATGTCTGAAAAACAAAAAACGGAGTTGATATATTCTTGTAAAGCTTTCCATGTTCTACATGTTCCATGTCTAAAATTTCAGAAATATGCAGTTTGAACAAAGCTACAGTACTCCGAACAAAGATATATCATACTTTCAACCTTTTTCAGTGAAAAATAGTCAAAGTCTTACAAAAGTATTTCAAAATGCCTCAATTTGTCTGAAAATTTCAGAGTGTACTAAATGAAAATAGAGCTTGATTTTTGTAGTTGACAACTTTTTTCTAGCTACTGTACTTTTTGAGATATGCGTCTTTAAAGTTGTTGCGCGCTTTGGGTGGCGGTCGTTTTAATTTTTTTTTGAGTTTTTTCAGTCTGCAAATTTTCTCTATTGAACACACTTACAGGTCAATCTTAAAATATCCATCGTCCTGACGGTTTTCGAAATCCCTTTACAGCTGAGCAACACTTTTATAAATTCCTCGGAGAATTTTTCTAAAATTTTTTTAATGGCCTAGAAACCCAAACCAAAACTAGGCTACATACTATTCGAGTCGTCTGTTTTGCTCTCGAACATCTCTTTTCGCTTATTCTCGTCCATAAGAACATCGTTGTAAGAAACAGCGCCGCTGACCTGGAAAACCCATTTTTAGGATATCAAACTTTGAATAACCGCGCAAAACATTATTGATCTGATGCAGCTACAAATTCTACACATAACGGTCAAAAAACCAATTTCCTAGCTTGATTTTGAAGCGAGTTATGATCATTTGAAGTTAGCACGATGATATAGTGTGTTAGGAGAAGAGGGCGCCAGAGAAGCTAGACTGTCTGCACCCTCTCCTTTTCCTACACTCTCTCGTTGTGCAAATTTTAAACGGCTGTAACTCGACTCAAAATAGTTTGTTTGAGTTGATTTTTAGCTCATTTTGAGGAAGAAAAGAAGAGGAATGCGATGTTACTAAATTCTAGTTTTATCGAAACTATGACTTGTTTAATTGTCGCTTCAAAAGTTTAAACTATATATTTCCCCGAAAGAGCTTCAAAAATCACACAAACCAGCCAAAACGTATTTCCTAGTGGTCAGAGTAAGCGCCGCTAACTAGGAAAAAGTTAAGCCATTTTTCGCTTTTTCAAAATTTAAAAAACCGCGCAAAAGATGCGATAGAGCGCGCTCGCACCACCCTGCGCCTCCTCGTCTCCCCTACTCTCTCACTCTCACCTCCGGAACTTGCGAACTTGGTTTCTTCGACATTTTTTCGTGCTGAATTCGAGTATTCAAGTGTATTTTTGTTGTATTTAAAAGAAATAATTAATTTTTTTGACACCGATAACTGGCACCAAGCACAAAAATCGCCACATAGATTGGCAGAAAAACACGAAAATCCAAAAAACGAAATTGGGTTAAAAATACAGAAAACTTTATGAAAAGTCTACAAAAGGGAAAAATTGATCTAATTTTGAACTTCTTCGATTTCTCCGGCAATCGCGACGGCCTCAATCTCGACGAGTCCTCCTTTGGGAAGAGCGGCGACTTGATAGGCGGCACGAGCTGGATATGGTGCCTTGAAATATTGTCCGTAGACCTCATTGACAGTTGCGAAATCCTTAATGTCTTGGAGGAGAACAGTGGTCTTGACGACTGAAAAAAAAATGAAATTCTGGCTTTTTTCGTAAATTTTAGGTTCAAATTTTGAATTCGCGCGCCTTAACTTGCAGCTGTCCGGTGGAGCGCGCTTTCTCACTCTGCGTCTCTGCTCTCTCGTCGGACAAAAAAAAATTTATTTAGGGTTGTTTTGGGTCATTTTTGGCCTATTTTGGTCAGATTTTGGCAGAATTTTCGGAAAAATAAACAAATACCATGTCCATAATCAGCTCCAGCCGCCTTCAAAACCTCTCCAATGTTCTTGAGACTTTGATGAGTCTGTTCGACGATTCCCTCCTTTAAATCGCCGGTTTTTGGGTCCAACCCCAACGAACCGGACAGATAAATGGTGTTTCCAGCACGAACGGCTTGGCTAAAATTAATTTTTTTCAATTTTCGGAGAAATTTCAGAATTTTTAAAGACCTGTAAGGGCCGATGGCTCCAGGAGCGTTAGCCGTGCTGATGATTTGACGAGTGACTTTTTGAGCCATTTCGATCACTTTGGTTCTCCTAGAAATTGAAAAATTCTAGAAAGAATATCAATTTTTTCGGGAAATTTGAAGAAAAATGAATTGAAATGCCTCCACCAACTTTGCAGCATCACCAGCGACTGTCTCCTGTTCTGTGCCGCCTGTTTCAGACCGTTTTAGCGCGTTGGCAGGTGGAAGCATCGGCATTGTTAGAAGAAGGGGAAGAAGAACCGAAAAAGAGAAGACGTACATGTTAAATAATTGCGGTGGAGATGTACAAGGAGAAAAGCGAAATGAGACAAATTCGAAGTAGGAGGCGATGAAAGAGACACCGAGGTCACTCTTATCAGCCACTTCGCGTGTTTATGGGAATAGAGGTTCTGCAACGAAACAGTTAGACTACGCCCCACCCACTTTTTGAAAGTACCGCGAATTTTGAACCATCAGTGATCTTTTCTTTTTTTTTTTACATCGCACAACGAATATAACAATTAACCAACAATTTATTTGGATAGTAACAACAGTTTATTGAACTGGAGCAACTGGTTGGGCGGCTGGGATCTGGACGTCCTTCTTCTCCTCCTTGTGCTGGCTGTGTGGCTCCTTTGGAATGACCTCCTCTTGTGGCTCCATGATTTGGACGTGGTCTGGGAGGGCATTTCTTGGTCCGTTCATTCCGCGTGGGTCGTATGGGAGCATGATCTTGACCTTGATTCCGATGACTCCTTGACGGAGTTGGACGTGTCTGACGGCTTGTTGGATGTAGTCGTTGACTGGGTGTCCAGAGTGGATCATGAGTCCGTCGACGAACTTCATGGCCTTAGCACGCTGTCCACGAAGCTTTCCGGAGACGATGACCTACAACACGCATGGTTAAAGATGAATTCTTATTTTCGGTGTTATATTGACATCGAATCTTGTGATAGCTCAAGAAATTGTGCGAAATCGAATACTCACCTCAACTCCTTGAGCTCCAGACTCCATGATGAATCGGAGAACTCCGTAGCAAGCACGACGGACGGCGAGTCCTCCAACGAGCTTGTATCTGAGAGACTCGCACTGGGCGACAGCGCAGAGTCCTCTGTTGGAGACCTTCTCGGCGTAGAGCTGAAAATATTTTAATTAACAAATTTTTCTTAGAAATTCCAAAATTTACCTCAACAGATCCCTCCTCGAATCCGAATCTCTTCTGGACAACGGAGGTGAGCTCCTTGATTCTGCGTCCGCGCTCTCCCAAGACGTTTTGGGTGCGGGTGGCCATGATGATGACCTCAGCTCTAGCTGGGGTGGAACGAACCTAAAAGTTTAGATGTCTTATTGCTCATAATAAAATCAAAAGTACCTCAACTCCGGAGTAACCGTCCTCGGCGAGCTCCTTCATCAAGAAGTTGTTAAGCTCAGCCTTGAAGATTCCGCCGATGACGGCCTTCTTCTTCTTAGTCACGTTTTGATTGGCAGCCATGTTGCCCACTGTTTGACGATCTCTGGAAAAAAAAATATGTGAATGATTTATTGGAAGATTTGAAATGATAAATTACGGAAAAGGAAAAATCAAATTTTTAGGTCTGAAACATTTTTTTCGCCCCAAAAAAGTTTGAAAAATAGACGATGGCCATAGTTGCACAAAGCAAAAGATACAAAACAACTGAAAAACACAAAGGCTCGGTGTTTTAGTCAAATTTGTAGGGTCAAAAAAAACGTGTCGCTTGGAAAAAAGCGAAAAATCGGCTATAAACCCAGTTGAAATGGGTAAAAAAATAAAATAACTCTGCAGAAATACACTTCCCATCGATTTTTTATCACGAATTTCTGATTTTTAAGCCAAAAAATGCAAAATTTCTTGAAAAAAAAACGAAAAAGCCAGATGGAAAATTTCCCAAGAGGCGTCCAACGTTAAAACATTGAATACTCAGCCGACAAGTGTCCTATTTCGCTGCCCCTCGCGAGACCCAACGCGCGCGCAGTGAGTGTGCGCCTTCAAACCCTCTCGTCGTCTCACCCCACACTCTCTCGCCGCCAAATTGAGTTTTTTGAATAAATCCATGGATTTTTAGCGGATTTTCGGTCATTTTCTGTCATTTTGTACTGTTAAAATTGAAAAAAATCAATAAATCTCGTTATTAACCTCTTAAAAATATCGTTTTTCAAATTTTTCCAGTGTCAAACATGGATGAAGAGAAAATCGTATTGATCGGTAATGAATCAGATCTTCTCCATGCCGGCTACAATTTCGCCATTAAACACGATGGAAAACGGTGATTTTTGAATGTAAAAATGTCCTAAAACCATCAATTTTTCAGATATCCCAGCGCGATTCACTTCACACACCACCAAATTCTAGATCAATTGAAAATCCCGGATTCAGCAATTGAAGAGCTGCTATGTACGAATAGTTGTGATGTTCAGCAGCGTGCAATGGTGATTTTACAAGAGAATATGCCAGAAGGACACGATTTGAATTCGCTGGGACCGTATTTGACGACCAGTCTTCATTCATATTCCCTGCAAGGACTTAGGCTAAGAGCTGAACACGATAAAGGTAGCGTTTTGAGTGATTTTAGAGCTTAAAAATCGATTTCTTGGCCTAAAAAAGCTAGAAAAACGTCATTTTCGCAATTTAAAATATTGTAGAGTTCGAAAAAACGCTGATGCGCACCAACGAGGCTCTTCTGATAGTGTGCGACGAGAAAAATCCAATTCTGGGCATCGGAATGGACGATAAGACGTTTATGGAGTGGATGGCCAAAGAGAAGGCAGATTCCAGGCAGATTGCCTATTGGATGAAGCATGAGCACATGAGACCGTCGGATTTGGGTCAGAATATGCTGGGGTGGGTTTTTGGCCTATTTCGACAGTTTTAAAGTGATTTTTTTTGCAAAAATTGAGCTAAAAATACGATGAGTCGATTTTTGTCCATGGAAATTGTAATTTTCACCTAAAATTGACAAAAAAAATCAATTTTTGGACGATTTTTGTCGATTTTGTGCCTTTCAAAATATAACTTTCCACCGAAAATTGATCCAAAACGGCGAATTTTTTCTATTTTTAGCTATTCAAAATGTAATTTTCATCCAAAAAATCTCTAAAAATCGATTTTCAGACGATATCTGATGTGGCTGAGGTATGAAACCATTGAAAAACGAAAGCAAAGCCTGCTGGCAAGGCCTACAGTTCAAGTGGAGGGGTTATCAACGGATAAGGAAGATAAGGCGTTTGTGATGAATGTCAATGATTTGGTTATCAGTTTGGAGGTGAGCCCAGTAGGAAAAAACTTGAAAAAATTGAGTCCTAGAGGCTTAAAAATGCTAAAAATGAGGGTTTTTGAGTGGAAATTCAGTTGAAAATTGTGATTTTTTGCATAAATTAGCACTAGAATCCGTCAAAAATTCAAAAAATTGTGATTTTCAGCTAAAATTTCGCTAGAAATCGAGGTTTTTAAGAAGTTTTAGACAGGTTCTAGTGCAAATTTGAGTGAGAAATTACAATTTTCAGCTTGGTTTCGACTCAGAAAATTCCATTTTTAGCATTTTTAGGATCATAGGAACCTGATTTTTTCGCCCAAAATCGAAAAATCGGGATCTGAAATTCCAAAAAATGCTAAAATTTACCTTTTTTGACTCAAAACCAAGTGGAAAGTTGTGATTTTTCGCATAAATTTGCACTAGAATCCGTTAAAAATTCAAAAAATTGCGATTTTTAGATTAAATTTCTTGAAAAATCGACGTTTTTAGAAAGTTGCAGACAGGTTCTAGTGCAAATTTGAGTGAAAAATGACAATTTTCAGTTTTTTTTTACTCAGAAAATTTCATTTTTAACATTTTTAGGATCATTGAAACCTGATTTTTTTCGCTCACATTCAAAATTTCGAGATTCTAAACTCATATAAATGCTAGAAATGACCGTTTTTGAGTTAAAAATCGGGATTTCTAGCACAAATTTGCACTAGAACCCATTCAAAAATTTTATAAAATCGTCGAAATTTCATAACGTTTTGTCTAAAATTTTTAGACCCTAAAAATGCAAAAAATCGGTTTTTTTCAATCAAAACCTAGTCAAAAATCGTGATTTTTCGCTCAAATTTGCACTGAAACCCTTCTAAAATTCTCAATTTTTTGGCTGAAATTCGAAGAATCGAGGTTCTAAAATCCTAAAAATGGTAAAAATTACATTTTTGACTCAAAACCAAGTTGAAAATTGTGATTTTTGGCTCAAATTTGGACTGAAACCGATCTGAAATTTCAAAAAATTCGACATTTCCAGGGAATATTCCACCCGCTCTCCAACTACTACGCCTCGCCATTCGAGATGAAAGGAGAACGGTATCGTTCAGTGGAACACTATGCCTATGAGAAGTTCTTCAATTCGCTGAAACTCGACGATAAAGCGATAGAGAAGATTCAAACGACGCCTGTGCCTTTAAATGTGCCAATTGTCGCTCAAAAAGTGCTCAGGAACTCAGATATAAATCAGGATACCATAGCGGAGAAGGGCACGAAGATGGATAGATGGCGTCAATCGGCAATGAAGCATAAAATCTATCATAATGAATACCTTCAACAGCTTCTTTTGTCAACTGGAAGTGCTATTCTTGTGGATTGCTCAGTTGGAGATCCTCTGTGGACGTGTGCTGCTTCGGAGTCAGAATTACAACATCTCCTTACGAAGACGTATGTTACACCACAGAAGTTGGTTGGATGGATGGTTGATGAGGAGCAGAAGGACACTCCGAAAAGTCTGATGCATTTGTATGGAAATAAAAGTGGATTACTGCTGATGGAGCTGAGAGAACGACTGGCTGTTCATACGTCGAGCAGGATACCATTGGTAAGGGTTTTTGGGGGGTTTTGGGGTTTGAAATTGGTCAAATTTGAGAATTTGGAGTGAGAATCAAGGAAATTCAACCGAAATCAACCCAAAATTCGAAATTTTGACGTCATAAAGAAGCTGAAAATCCCTGATTTCAAGCTCAAAATCCTATGAAAAATTGTAATTTCTGGCTCAAAATGAGAGAAAAATTCAAATTTTGGCTAGAAAGCAAGTCTGAAAATATCATTTTTCGCCGTTTTTGAGCTTAAAATCTGCAATTTTCGGCTCAATTTTGTGATTAAAAACTGAATATTTTCGACAGAAAAATTACAATTTTAAGCTCAAAACTCCGAGAAATTAGTGATTTTCTTGCAATTTTTCGAGAGAAAAATTGATTTTTTCATTCGATTTTTTGCAACATTTTTAGACCTTTTCAAGGGGTTTCAGCTATTTTTGAAAATTGTTTTTCGACTTTTCAGACTTTTTCCGTCTGGAATTTGATGGAACGGTGTTAGGATTACTGTAGATTACTGTAGAAAACCTTGTTTTTATTATTGTTGTGCGAAAAAATTGGAGTCGAGACGCAGACAGTTGAACAAAAAATTTCTCTGCGTCTCCACCGATTATGTGCTATTTTGGCTTGCCGCTTCGAGGTGAATCCGTATTCAGACTGTAAAAAATACTCTCTAACTCCATTTTTTTCGGACAACAATAAAATCTGCAATTCGACGTGATTGTGATTGCAAAAAAAAAACTACAGTAATCTACAGTAATCAAACACCGTTCCATGAAATTTCAGACGAAAAAATTTGGAAAAATCGAAAAAGAATCTTTAAAAATGGCTGAAAACCCTTAAAAAGTCTAAAAATTTTGTGAAAAATCGGAGAAAAATCGCAAGAAAATCTCTAATTTTTCGGAGTTTTCAGTTTTAGCGGAAATTCAAAAAAATTTAAGGCTTCTGACCTATAATTATAAAAAATTTCCCAAAATCAGTCCGAAATTCCCTCAAAATCAATGCCCAGCTTCAGCTCTCCGCGATCAACACTGCTCCATTGAAGTCGATAGTGACGTCGAACGTCATTTGTTTCACTCCAGAATCCGTTTTTCATCCGTTGTATCCTGCAGAAATCCGATGCTCTCAGGATGGACCCCCAATGAAGTCGCCAGCTCATTATGTGGCTACGCAGGCGGTGAAGTGAGTTTTTTGGCTCATTTTTTCATGTTTTTTGACCCAGAAATTCCTTAATTTGGGCCCGAAAACCTCAAAAATTTCGGGTTATGTGCTCATGTTTCATGAATTTCGTCTAATTTCAGCTCAAAAATTCCAGATTTTTTACCTAAAAATCCCCAAATTTTAGTTGAAAAACCCAAAATAGTGGGATTTTGGGTTCATTTTTCATGGTTTTGGCATATTTTCCAATGAAAAATCCCGTTTTTTAACTCAAAATCCCCAATTTTAGCTCCTCGAGAGCTCAAAAAAAAGGCGAATTTTCAGCTTTTTTGACCCGAAATTCCCTAACTTTTGCTGCTCAAATTTCACCATCTTTTGGGCTCATTTTTCTGAAAATTTCCAGATTTTAACCAAAAATCCACAATTTTAGCTCCAAAACTCAAAATGAATAGGATCATTTTCAGATTTTCTAGCTCAAAAATCCTAGAATTTCAGCTCTAATTTTACCCTTTTTGGGCTCATTTTTCATGAATTTTATATATTTTTCAAAGATTTTTGCCCCAAAAACCCCAAAAACTCAAAAGTTCCTAATTTTCAGACTTCTAAGCATCAATAAAGAGGATTCTGACTACATCCTCGAGGAGACGTCTTCCATCCAATGCTGGCAACGCCTTCACGAGACCATCGAGCTTCGAGGACGTGGTTTGGAGCTGGAACAGACGTGGTGGATGGATAAACGAATGCAGTTCATCAAGGAATCCCTTCAACTCCTCCTGGATCAACATCCGGCTCTGCTGAGAGCTCTTTTGGATACTGGAGACTCTTTGCTAGTGTATTGCTCGAGATTTTCGTCGATGGATGCTGAATTGAGTATTGGAATGAGGGAAATGGACCTAAGGTGGTGGATGCAGGAGGTTGGAATGACCACCAAGACGGTAAGCGGGTCTTCAGAATTTTAAGAAAATCAGTATGCCGAAAAACCTGTGTTAGAATAGCCGGCCTTCTATTTTTCCAAGATACCTTCCGAGGGCTCTTCTATTACAGCGGCGCTTCAATCTCTAGAAAATCTGAATTTTTGAGTATCTGAACTTTTGAATTTCTAACTTTTTGAATTCCCGAAATCAGAAAAACAAGTTGACCGTAAAGCCTGTATTAGAAGAGCCCCTTTAATAGAAGGGCCCCTCCGAGGGGCCTTGAAAAATAGAAGTGCCGGCCCTTCTAATACAGGTTTTACGGTATTTCTATTCCGCTCCTTTTTCCAGCTCATCGACATGTGCTCCCACCCGATGGCCTTCCGACCACCGTACCTAGGCGGCAACCGTCTTGGATTGATTCTAATGGAACTTCGACGTGAATTCGTTCTCCAAGGCGTCTTCCCCCAACAACTTCCCGAACTTCAACTCACCGCCGACTCCATCCTGGGAACCAATTCGCCGATGGAGAATTTTATGACTTCGGAGCATTTTGATATGCTACAGCAGTGGAATTATCGAGCACTTTGGATTAGTGAGTTCTCTATATATTTTGTGATTTCAAATATGTCAAAATGGGCCAAAAACTACTGTAGATGAGAATGAACAAAAAAGCAGAAAAACACAAAATTGAAATGAGCAATGCTCATCTGGTGCGTAAAAACCACTATACAAGCAAAATGACCTAAAAATCATTTTAAAACGACCCAAATTTGCTTTTCAAAGTCCGCAACTAACCAATAATTAGTCTAAAATTGATGCCAAAAAATCAAAATTACGGAAAAATGACCCGAAAATCACTGGAAAACCCCAAAAATTAGGTAAAATGGCCCAAAACCCATAAGAAATAGCTTCAAAATTAGTGAAAAATCGTCCAAAATTAGCAAAGAATAATTCATTAAAACGGCCCAAAAATGCATGAAAAATAGACTAAAAATCGCTGAAAATGGTTGAAAATTGACTAAAAGGTCTGAATTTTGAATCAAAATGACTCATAATTAGTCTAAAATTGATGCCAAAAAAAAATCAAGTTCTTTCCAGACCCACTATTCCTTCTGGCAAAAGACAATTATCCTGAAGCGATGTCCCAATGCACACGAATCAAAACCGCCCCTCGAATGGTGACGATTGACGATGAGAAAGTGTCGGACTTGGTGGATAATTTGGTGAAAGAGGAGACACACACGGAGACACTGAAAGCCATTGCAGCCGAGGATCTACGGGCGGTCTTCATGAAGTTGTGTGCGAGATTGAGGGGGAAAATTGAGAATATGGATAGGCAGTCGATGGATATTGCCATGGCTGCCATGGAGGTGGGAGTTTGAGGGATATTGAGTGAGATTCCATGAAAATGGGCTGAAATATGCTCAAACTTGTGGCAATTTCAGTCAAATTCAAGCCAAAAATCGCTGAAAAATCTCAAAATCTTGATTTCAGGCTCGAAATCCTATGAGAAATTCTAATTTCTGTGTTAAAAATGAGTGGAAATTTTCGAATTTTGGCCTGAAATCAAGTTTGAAAATATCACTTTTCGTATTTCCAGCCAAATTTGATCTAGAAATTTGCAATTTTTAGCTCAAGTTCGTACCATTTTTCGACCCGAAATTCCATTTCAAGCTCAAAATTTGATCAAAATCACGTTTTTTGGAACGGAAAAATTCGAATTTTGGCTAGAAATCAAGTCTTAAAATATCATTTTTTGTCGTTTTTGAGCTGAAAATTTTCTCATTTTTAAGCCCATTTTTGGCTGAAGTTCGTAAAAGATTCCGTTCGAAAATCCCAATTTTAGGCTCAAAATTAAGCCAACATCATATTTTCCATGTCGAAAATGAGATGAAAAAATTATTTTCAGACAAATTTGAGCCAGAAATCTCAAAAATAATCTGAAGTTTTAAAATTTCCAGACCCATCGCCTCCAATCGATCCGCCGAAGTCTCGCCGACACCAACGACAGAGAAGACGGTGGACCATCATCATCAGGCCCCTCGATTTCCGCTCCTCCAATGACGACGTCCGCCTCCAGAATCCCTCACTCGTCGTCTGGATTCAGAATGGCAGCTGGAAGAGAAAGAGACAGAGAAAGAGAACGTGATGATGAGAGAGATAGAGAAAGAGACAGAGCTGGAGCATCATCATCGTCGTCAGCTCAACCAGCTAAAAAGGAGCGAATGGAGTATAAAATACCAACGACGTCGAGACGAAAATTCGGAAGAGATCGCGAGAAGCCGACGTCATCGGCAGTGTCGTCGTCGTCGGATCGGGGGAGACCGGACTCCATCAAAAAGCGTCCTCACACCTCGCCACCGTCATCCCGAAAATCAGCTCCATCTCCGAAACGAACGGCTCCAACAACTCCTGCTGCTCCTGTGGCTCCAGCTGCTGCTCCCAAACCAAAGAGAAATCCAGACGAAGAGTTGTCCGACGGAGAGATATTGTCTACGGATGAGGAGGATAATTAAAGGAAGATACTTAATTGATCTAATTGATAATTTAAAAATTTGTAATTTTGTTTTGTTGCTCAGAAAGGTGTGAACCTAAACTACAAGTAAAGAGTTTCTTCATGTTCCGTATACACACGCAAAACAAGGCCAATAGCTGGGGAAGAAGGAGAATGAATTAAAAATGTTGTGGTGTTTACAGGGGAAAAAGAGCCAGGGGAATCAATAAATTAAAATCAATAATCAGTGAGATTGATCTCGAATGGTTGTGGTGGTTTCAGTTCGGCGTTCGACGAGGAAGCGGGAAGACTGACTTGAGCGACGACTTCACTGACCAGTTTCTCTTCTCTCTCCTTATCAATACGATCCGAAACGATGATTCCTCCCTTGTAGAGTGGTTTCATTGGGGAATACGAACGGGGGTCACTGATCGTAATCAGGTTTCGTTGAGCCGTAATCACGCGAGCAGGGTTGCAGAGACGGTGGATGGGTTTCGTGTCCTTTTCTGGTGCCTTCTCCTTCCTGGAAATACAGATTTTTTAGAGGTTTTAGATCTTTTTTTGGATGGTCCATAGCTCAGATATAGATTGAAAGATCTCAGAAATAGTTGAGAAAAGCTTAACGATGGCCCAAAATAGCTTAAAAATTACGTTCAAAATCGCCTAAAAATAGCTGAGATTACCTTTAAAGTGGCTCACAAATAGCTCACAACAGCTCAAAATATCTCAAAAATGGATGGCTTAAACGTAGCTCGAAAATGTCTAAACAGGTCACATCGGCTCAAAAATAGCTGGAACTAGTTCAAAAACTGCTCAAAAATACGTCAAAATAGCTCGAAAATAGGTCAAAAAACACTTTAAGAGTATCTCAAAAACAGCTTAAATTTGGGTCAATTTTAAGCGATTTCGTGTCAAATTTCAGATTTCCAGTTTTCAAAATTCCATTTTAGGCTATTTTTACTTCAAAAATAGCTCAGAAATATCTCAAAAAGCTCGTCCACAGCTCAAAATCAAGCCAATTTTGAGCTATTTTGAGTCAGTTTTAGTCATTTCTGACACGCGATTCTCTCGGAAAATCGGCTCTCCACTCACTTCGGCTTTCCTTGTTGATCCACCTCCATCTTCTCATCCTCACCAGCAGCACCAGCAGCTGCTCCTCCAGACGCCGACGACGATGATTGTGCAGCTGCATGGAGTGCTGCAGCAGCCGCAGCCTCCCGGCGCTTCTTCTCCTCCGCAGCCGCCGCCTTTTTCAACGCGTTCTTCTTTCCGGTAATCGACAAAACCACAGTTTCCACCTTCTTGATATCCTTATCCTTCTTCGATTCGGCACGTGGTGGATAGGCAAACTTTTGGCTGTTCGCATGACAAACGTAGTCGAGTACTGGAATTTTGAGATTCTCATTGACCATTACCAAGCAAGACGGCTTGGCGGCGAGGGCAATGAAGAAGTGCATCGAGTGCCAGAACCATCCATGCAAGAAGCACATCATTCCAACCATGGAGCCCATATCCGGTTGACCATCAGAATTGTGCAATGAGACGGCCGCGTTCTGGCCTCCAATGTCGAGAAGACCCTGAGCAATGATGGCTCCGAACTTGACTAAAGAGTCCTCATTCTTCTCTCCGATCTGGAAATTTAGAATAAGTTTTAATCGAACTTGTAACAGGCCGGGCCGGCTCAAAAACGGCCCAGAACATCCATAACTGTGCAAGTGTCATTCTTACCTTCTTCAACAACTGCTTTCTGAATCCGTTAACCTTTGGACAGGTGTAGTCTGTCTGTTGGCACATGATAAGAGATAACGAGAGAAGAGCTCCCTTGCGGACGAATCCTTCCTTATCAGAAATCATTGGCTCAATGAGTCCGATTGCTTCCTGAAACATTATTTTTTAAATCACTTCTTTGGCAGTGGAGCGCACTTTCTAGAAATCGAGGGCCGACGAAATCCGGAATTCCAAAAAATCCCAATTTTAGCAGCCTTATCAATCCCAACCCACCACCCCTCCCCAATCTCCCAGAACTCACCATATTTCCAGTTCCAGCACAAGCGATACCCAAAGCCATCGCGGCTCCATACCTAACATGTCCGTTGAAATGCTCGGTGAGCATGGAGACATAAGACAGGCAGGTATTTGGATCCTTCGAAAGAACGAAACCGATACCAATGGTCGCGTATCTCTTAACATCTAAGTTTGGATCAGTGGCAACCTTCTCGAGAAGACGACGAACGACATCTGGAGATCCAGTTCCAGCGTAGGCCATCGACAGCATACAGATTCCAGTAGATCTGAGCATTGGGTTACTCTTGGCTCCAATCGCCTCGGTGATATAGGGTTCAGCGTCTCCTTGAAGTCCGAATGAAGCGCAGGCGAGTCCAGTACGAATACCACGTTGAGTCTTGTCGTGTTGAGTATCCACAGTATACTGTTTCAACTCATTGAACACCTCCTGATTCAAATTTCCAGCCATGATAAGTCCCATAGCGATTCCAGCAGATTCTCCAGAGACAGCCTCGTCACGTTGAAGAACTTCGCGAATCTTCTCATATCCAGAAACCGAGGAAGATCCCAAACCAGCGATTCCGAATCCAAGGCAGGCTCCATGTCGAACTGGCTCATTCTCAGCAGTCTTGAGCCATTGAGCAAGAGTGCTCATAGCAGTGGCATCACCGTGTTTGGCATGAATCAATCCGTAGGCGAGCATGGCTCCTCCCTCTTTGAATCCGAATCCTTCTACAGATTCTTTCGGAAGGTACGGATCGAGAACCTTCATTGCCGAGGCCTCTTGTCCGTGATGGATGAGTCCGAGGGAGGCGACAGCGTTGAATTTGTTCCAGTTGGTAGCCTTGGACACCCACGAGAGATTGTTGCGGAGGAAATCGTCACAAGTGGTACCGTACTGCATCAGACCGTTGCTGATAAGAAGAGCATTGTGAGCAGATGCGGTTCTAATATTCTCCTTGATCTCTTCCATCAGCACGGAATCTGTGTGATTGTGACGGACGTAGAAGTCAAGATAGGCTTTCACTGTCTCGTGTCCTTTCAGAATCGAATGCACCTTCTCCATGGATTTGGCGTCTGCTGGTTGCTCCTGTTGCTCGAATCGTCGAAGAACTCTGTCAAGGAATCCTTGGCTGGCGGTTTCATACAAATCGAAGGCGATTTGATAGGAACGAGTAGATAGATTGCGGGAGATGAGATCCGTGATAGTGTCAGCAGCAGACTCGGCGTTGTCAGTGAGCACGTAGCACTGGAAAATGATTTTTGAAAAACTGTATTTTCTCTAAAACTTTGAGCTCAATTGTCTCGGTTCCTGTGAAAGATATCAAGAAATTGTCAACTGATAAAATACTATTGTCGTAATGATATGCAATTTATCAGTTGACATTATTACGATATCTTTCACAGCAACCGAGATAATTGAGCTCAAAGAGCAAGGATAAGGTTTCACTAGATAATAGTCATAAAAATAGCCAAAAATGGTTTCAATGAGGTCTAATTGCCCAAATTTAAGAAAAATAGCTAAAAAAAATGATTAAAAATGTCTAAAAATCTCGAAAAATGACTCGAAATCGTATTTCCTCTAATAGAAATCCACCGAAATCGTAAACTTTGCTGGGTTTTAAATTATTTAGAAATACGATTTTGGGCCACTTTTTATTAATTTTTAGGTCATTTTTCACGGATTTTGAGGCAATTTTTCCTGAATTCAGGACTATTTTCATAATTTTTGGACCTTTTTTAGGAATTGTTAGGTCAGTTTTCATGGAATCTGGGCCAATTTTCATGGATTCGGAACTATTTTTTTAAATCGTTTTTAGGCCATTTTTAGTTATTTTTAGACTTTTTTAAAGGAATTTTCTGGGTTTTTTTCATGGATTTTGAGCCAATTTTTCATGAATTCGCCACTATTTTTGATTTTTGGAACTTTTTTTAGAAACTTTTCCTCACCTCACAAATCTTGGACATATCTGGCGATGGACACTTCAAATAGGTCTTAATGACAGTGTTAATGACTTTAAAACGGAATGATCTGTCGAAGGCTCCGTTGACGACACGGTTGAGCGTTTCCACAAGGGTTGCTACAAAAGATGAATATTGAGCTCTCAAATTCCAAAATTTCAAAGGACTCACTTTGATTTTTGACATTGAGCTCTGCTGGCATCGCACTGATAGCCTTTTCGATCATTGGCAAGTTGGTCGTCTCGAAACCCAACGAGATCACATACCAGATCTCTCGATTATCCAGATTTCTGGCAACAATCTTATCAACGAGCTCGCGGAGCTGTTGCGGAGCAGCGATTCCTTGTTGGCTCATAATCTTATAAGTGTCAATGGCGGTTTCAATTATCTTATTCACATATTCTGCATCGTTTCCAAGGCCCACTCGTGGAGCAGGGACGACATTGAAATCTCCGCGCAGAGCGAATTCCAGAGCACGCTCGTACTGTTCCAGACAGAAATAGACTTTCGAGACGAGCAACGCGGCTGATGAGTGCTCTGGGAAGGCGGTGACGTCGAGAAGCTTCTCAACGGCTGGAAGAGCGTCGGCTACCTCAAACCATGTGTTAACGAGGACGTCCCAGTCGTTGAAGGCCTTCAGGACGAGAACTTTGTCGGAGACTGATGACTTGGGAGATTCGAGGACGCGAATGAAGGCGGAGGCATTGGAAGGTCCTCCTGGCTGGGAACGCCATCTGTTCAAAAGTGTCAGCATCTGGAAAAAACTCTTAGTAGGAAGGTTCGAAAAGGGGAGAAGTGTGGTCAAACTAGCGATATAACTCGGAAAAAAAAAAACAAAACCTCAAAATTGGAAATTTTGAGAAAAAAAAGTTCAGAAAACGATGTAATTTTGAATGGGAAAGAGTGAAAAAAAAAAGATTTTCCAGAATAAAGATAGCAGCAAAATGAACAAAACCCAACGAAATTGAACAAAAAACAACGATTGCCTTATAATCATGATAAATCGTCTTTGACCGAAAATCCAAAGGAAAATTGCGGTTTTCCAAAAAAAAAAAACAGGAATTTTAAAAGTTTGAAATCGAATTTCGAACTGAAAAATCAGGTAAGCCAAAAATCTCAAAAAACACCGAAAAACAACAATTTTCTTTGAATGATGATAAATGGATTTTGACCGAAATTCGGCTTGAAAATCAGACTTTTCCGCCAAAATAGAGCCATTTGCGTTCAAAAACGAGTTTTTTTCATCAAATTAAAAAAAAATAAGCAAAAAGTCTCAAAAATCACTGAAAAAACAATCAAATTTCAGATATTTCCCTCGGCTTTCGAATTGTCATCGTCGGCGCGCGTTTCGCGCCAACGTGTGTAGGTCAAGTGCGCCAGTGACCCCGCTTGGCGCGTTTCTCGATTTTTTTTTTGGAAAAATAGGTTTGAACCCCTCAAAATGCAATAATCGGAATTTCTAGGCGTCTTTCAAAAGAATAAGATGAAATTTACGAAATTGATGCTTTTTTGTCCGGAAAAAAGTGGAAAACCGCTTGAAAATAACCTGAAAATCGAGAAAAAAGGAGAAAAGATTACTGTAGTAAAGGTGCTTGGAATTTGGCTGAAAAATGGTTTTGAAGAGAATCCGAGATAGTTCTGGAAGGTTTCTTCGAAGAATTACGCAATGTTTAGTTCATTTTCGAGAGGAAATATCCGTTTTTTGCAATTTTTGACCTTTTTCGCGCTATTTTCGTCAAGAAAGTGATATTTTCCAGACTTTTCTATGTCCCCCTGGCGATGCATCGCAGAACAGCTCGTCGAATACGAGGAACCAGTCGACGCAAAGGCGTATTTTGACAAAATAATTTGCCTGTGGAAGGAGTATCCGAATGCAATTAGTAACCGAATCAACACCTCTGTCCCTGTGGAAGAAGAATCTCAAGTCTGGAATGAAGTGATAGCCAATTTCGAGTCAAAATATCGATTTGATCCGGCGAATTCCAGTGAATTGAGCATTTTTAAATTGATTCAGCGGGACTATAAAAGGCAATCGTTCTCGAATAATTGCTATGAAGTCGCGTTTTATGAAGGTTGGTGTCTAGATTTGGCAAAAATTCTGGCATTTTTCGATAATTTTTATTGATTTTAGGCGATTTTGCAGAATTTTTTTCGCAAAAATCGCATAAAAACGATGAAAATACTCGAAAAATCGACAAAAATGCACATAAAATAGGATTTTTGATCAAAATTTCGAAAGTGGGCGGAGCTAAGGTCCGTTAAATCATTAAAGAAATATGTTTTTTTTTTCGATTTTTTACCAATTTTTCGACAAATTTCTGCGTTTTAGAATGTTTTTATAGCCGAAAAATCACGAAAAAATCGGAAAAAATGGAATTTTTTGATAAAAAATTCAAAAGTGGGCGGAGCTTAGGCCGCGAAATCCCTTAAGGAGCATGTATTATACTATTTTTGACCGATTTTTTTCTATTTTCGAACGATTTTCGTTGATTTTACGACGAATTTTCCATGTTTTAATGTAATTTTTCGTTCTTTAAATCAAACAAATCATATTAAAATTTGAAAAATTTCTAAAAATCGTCTGGAAACAGTGAAAGTTTCGAAAAACCACAGAAAAAAGTCTAGAAAAAATTGAGAATCACAAAAAAACCTAAGCTCCGCCCACTTTCGGCACAAAAATAGCCATTTTTCGCGATTTTTCGGCTAATTTCATCGTTTTTAGGCGATTCTCATCGATTTTTAAATGATTTTCTATTCAAAAATTGCAAAAAATCGCATAAAACCCATGAAAATACTCGAAAAAATAGGCCGGAAAATTATGAAAATTGTAGAAAAATCAAAAATTTTTTCAAAATTCAATTTTTTCGACGAATATCATCGATTTTGAAACTTTTTAAACTCGAAAAATCGCATTAAAACAATGAAAATACTCGAAAAATCGAAAAAAAACGGCCAAAAATTCATTTTTTCCAGAAGAACTCTTGGTCCGTTTCTACCCGATTGTCCTCGACGGCCAACAACATCCACACTTTGAGAGTCCCTACTCGATTGCCTGTAAAATTCCATCGAATTCCTCGATTTTGCTCCAATTCTTCAAGCCTGTAGATACTCCAGATGACCATTTTGAGTTCTTGAAGACGTTGGCGTTCAAGCAGCTGGTCACCTGGTTGAAGAGTATCGATTTGTCAAAGTATATCGATTTTTTTAAATTAGAAAATTTTGATTAGAAACATTTTTTTTTTCAGAAAAACTCAATTTTTTCCAGTTTTCAAAAAATTCGAAAAAAAAAATTTTTTTCAGAAAATTTTCTGTTTTCAAAAAACAAATATAAAAATGTTCAATTTGTGCAGAACAACTCGAAAAACGCACTCTCTCCTAGACAAGGAATCTTATATATCCACTTATCGACACATTCGAGAGGATCTTGGACGTCCGCTAGTCGAAGGGTGGACTGAAAATTCGAAACCGCAGAAAGTGATTTTCGAGGATTGCGGAATTGCATCGTATATTCAGGTTTGTAGTTTTAGTCTACTGTCTATTCAATAAAACGTGGGCCAAAAAGACTACAAATTAACTAATCTTCTCTTCATTACACTCATTCCTGTAATTAGGTGATGTGCTCACGTGGAAAATTTGATGGTGATTTCTGAGGAACGTCTGCAGTCCGCCGTCCTGATCCTTCATCAGCTTCTTATCATCGTCAGTGAGCTGGCCAGCCAGCTGGGCCAATGGAACCTCGCCTCCGCATCGCCAACCGCTGGAAATTTAGAATTTTTTGAGATTTACGAGTTTTTGGATTTTTAGAGTTTTTTGAAATTTTCTGGAAATTTCGAGATGTTTGATTTTTCGAATTTTTGAAACTTTTTGAATATTTGAATTTTCAGAAATGTTGAATTTTCCAAAATTAAGAACATTCAAAATTAAAAAACTTTTGAATTTTTAAAAATTCACAATTTCCAGAATTTTTGAGTTTTTGAATTCATGATTTTTCAAAAATTTATAATTTCTGTATTTTGA